AAAAAAAAAAATGAATGAGCAGGGGCAGAAGGATCAAGGTGCTTCCCAACAAACTCCCATTAATTACAATTTCTACGGGAACAAACAAAATACAGGAGTATAGCAATTCAGCGCTACGACAGAAATCATTCACTAAATCCGCTGAAAAGTCAAAAAATATTCAAACTATCGGAGCAGCTTTTACATAATAGAAATGCATCATAAGTACTATATATGGTTAGAATATCATAAATAGATATCAATTAAAAAAGAGTAACAGTAACTGGAAATAATGAATATGCCGAATCAAAAGTGATAGAAGCAAACCATACATGTGTGTTTATAGCAGCTTTAGGTATAGGCTTCACTGACGTCGAGCTAATATTACAGTATTCATCACCTGGTGGAGGTAACACATTCCCCACACGCCTTTGAGTATTATTCGACGACCCAGTGGTTTGCTGAACTCTATTCCTTAAAAAAAGTATACAAGTGAATCAGATACTTTAAGAATAACTACATAAGATCCCAAAAACATACTATGAAGAAAGAAGCATCCCCCCTTTATCTGCAACCTTTCAGTACAACCACCAAGCAATTTTCCTTTTCTAGATCGCTCTGAAAATCTTTCCACAAGTACACACTATTCAAACTACCAACCTTATTAAGGTTACAAAAGTCAACAGATAATCACAACTCTACCCTGCGCAAATCTGATTAAAATTACTCGTTAAATTGTAGGTGGCACTAGTTATTAACAAAGAGGCGTTTATTAGATTCCAGAGAACTATCATAGGTTTTAAACCAACCCCAATTCCAGCAACATAAAAGGCCTGGACAAGGGCACCAAAGAACCTAATAATTAGCATGCAACATAAACAGTGTCATGCAACATCTTGGTCAACAAGGTAAATCAGAAACCACTCTTTGCGTAAATGCTGCCATTTCTCACATGATGAACATCAAACCTTAAGTTGGTGACAAAAAATTCTGGGCCATAAGAAACATGTAATTCAATCTTAGCCACATTGTTTCTCAAACAACTCCAACACATCCAAGGATCCAACAAATTATATATTCAAGAAAAAAGAACAAAAATAATAACTAGTATGAGTATTAATGTGCATGGTTAATCTTCATGCATATTTTAGATCCCAGAATGAGGACAAATAGTCTGCATGTAAAGTTTACACTATTATCAGCTGGTATTCCATCTCTGACATGTCCACTAAAAAGAAGGGAAAGAAAACAAATATACCGACAATGGTGACAAATATGAAATGCTCTTTTACAGGTTATTCAATCCTCAGAAGAACAACATGATAGGGCTGACATGGACTATAGCATGCAGGTAGCCTCTGCTACGGGGATAACAGAATCATCAAACCATTCATGGAGGTAGCACCATACAAGTTCTTAAGATAATGCTTCCAGTGGGTGAGACAAGTGAGAAATTATTGGTGAGAAGAATGATTTGCTTAACCATACATAAGTTTAGGAATTGACGGATAGCACAAAAATAAGAATATATGGTTAAATAACATAGGCGCATTACTTATCACTGAAGATTAAGCCAATATTACTCTCAGAAGAGTTACAATATTAGAATGAGATAAAATGCATGCCTGAAGACATAGCCTACAGCTCTCATAAAAAAGAGTTGATATCACATCTTAACCAAATCAGAAGCAACAAATCTAACATGCAATACATTTGTATGAAAATAGAAGTTTAAATAACTGGCTTTAACCAATATGCCAAATGCATCCCCATAATACCTTGTGTATGCAGAAATTATTTCATCCTTAGTAAAACTATCCTCTTGTGAGCCAATCTCGTGCAAGTATAAACAGTCTTTATTGCTACAAGGCTGAAACAACATAAAAGAATTTACATTCTGACCAATGCATTAACGATGGGTGTATAGCCCAAGTCAAGAAATGAATAAAATTGTAGAAAATGAATGAATAGTGCATAATTCTGCCACAAGTTAAAAGGGAAAGTGCATACCATATTTCTCAGCCATGCATGACAGTATTTTGTAGTCCCAAAGCATGCCCTGCAGCAGGAGTTTTCAGAAACTTTCTGATGTGACATAAAAACTAGTAAATGATGAGACTTACCTCAGAGGTTTACCATCTAAAACAAAACCATGTACCAACTGAATGCACCGGACTGCCTCCTCCTCCTTTGAATATGTTATATATCTAGGAACAAAAAGGAGAAGAGAGAAAACAAACAGAAATAAGAAATACAACATGAAAACTACGAGATCTACAAATGACTAAAAACACATTATAGATATGAACTGCAAAGAAGATATTGTACATCATATATAATAAGACCCCATAGTTTTACACTTCAGTATATCACAGAGGAATGATAATCTGATACAGATGTACACTTTACCACCAAAGTTTAACATGCTGTACACTCTAAGATATTGTTATACATACCTAGGTCGGTACCTAGAGAATGAAGCCTCCACCCACGAAGAAAACTTGCATTTAGCATAGGCAATAGCCATCTTCATACACATTCATTTAATCATGTATATAGTTCTTCGAATAGATAACTTAACGATCAAGTATCACTGTATATGACATTTGAACAAAGAAACTAAGAACCTACACACTGCATGTATTATTTGCAAACTGTTGTATAGCACCAGTTGCTGTTCTTGATATTGACACCTTCAGCACCTTTCCATACTGACTGAAGTAATCTTTGCGCTGTAGAATCTGTTAACCAAAACCCAGAGTTATAGGACATCAAAAGGAGAACACAAATATATGAGGGAAATTAAAAAAGAAATGGGAGTTAATTACATCCTCGTCTGCATAATTCAAAGGCAAGCCTACAACATAGACGAGATTCCGCTGGATGACACGCACACTTTCAAGTTGCTTCCTTCCCTCCAAGGTTTTGCCCTTTCCCTTCTGTAACTTAAGTTTTTTCTCCACATTCAACTCTGTAACCAGCCTGTTACAGTTAACACATATCATAATCAGGATACAGCATGATGCCCTGAATTACTTATGGAGTCAACTTAATGCACATGGTAATTACTTTTCACACTTCGCAGCTGTTCCAACAATCTTTTCCTTGTTATATGGAGTACGACATGCTGGACAACGCCCTTGAGTCTCATCCTTCTCAGCCATATCCATAATGTGATGCCAACACCACACACAAATCTGCATAAGTGGAAAGTGCACTCCAGTAAGCAAAAAACTCGGCACAGAAAAAAAAAATATTAAAGAGCTGTGCAAGAAAATGGATGGAAAAAAACAACTGCTTGCACCTAGGCGCTAGATGGCCCTCCAATGCCAGGCTAGCGCCTAGTGGATCTTTCAGCAGAACATTGCGGTGACAATCAAGCAAAAATGATTATTATTGTCTGATGCGGAAGAGGAATCAATTGCTGGAACTTTACAATGGACTGCATCCATAATGGTGACTGTTTTTAAAATAGAGATTAAGATGATATGTAGCATAGATGCTTAGAAAAAATAAAGGTTGGTAAATTTGCTTCTATAGAACCAATACAAAATGGTACATAAAAAATAGTGTAGGTGGTGACTCTTTCTACTAAAACAAAGAAATTGAAATCAATTCTACATGAGAAGGAGTACCCTTCGTCGATAGATATCTTCAGTAATTGCTCAATATTTTTTTAAATTTACATCTGGTTTGGTTCAACGAAATTATCGAAATCAGGGATTTCATGCACCTTCATTATTCGGGACTTGGAAGCATTCCAAACTTTGATTATGTGAGTACAGTACAGAGAAGCAAGGGTTCAAAGACCAAATTTCTGTCACATGGATTTCAATTAATCAACAGGAAATTAAGATTGAATTTTCATGACGTTTAAAAGATTCTGCATTTATATTTCATGTGTTCTAGTTTCGAATGCAGTCCAAGCAAAATATAAGCAAGAATAGCACCATACATTCAAGCATATTCAGGCACACAGCTCGCATGCTAGCATCCTGGTTCCACCACGTGGGCGAAGAAATATATTAAATCTGCAAAAGATACAGGGAGGAACATATAGTGGCATACCTCATAGCCACACTTGCAGGGCTTCAACTGCTGATCAGTCAAATCCATCTCCTCAGCACAGAGGGGGCAAGTCTTGTCTCCTTCATCACTCATGGTTGTCTTCAGTGTACCACACCAATTTATAAAACAAGAAAAAAAAAAGATAAGAAAAACAAGAATCTTTCAACTTAAACAGATGCAATTTTTTTTTTTTTTTCAATTAAATGGGAACTGTGTTTGCATGCCCCAGAAGAGGGAGGCATTGAAGCTAAATTTTATTTGATTTTCTAAAAAGAAAAAAAAAAAGACAAGGCAATAACAAACTATTAGTTCTTCCATATCCAGCACAATAAACAGCAGCAGATCAACACACAAACAAGATAAAAGGTTAACTGGAAGTAGGTGAAAGAATTGGACAAAGACCAAAAGAATGGAATCTTAATTTAGCTAGCGCATGGTTAACTTCTGAATAAAAATCACTATACCAATCAATCAAAAAGTCAATACTAAAAAAAAAAAAAATACCCTATACATAAAAGCTCATACACTTTTCCATTCACACAACAAACTGATAAATCTTGAATAATTTGTGTAACGATTTAACCAATCGATTGAACTTAAAAACAACAGAATTCGACCTGATTGGGTTCCTTTGAAGCCGATTAAACAAAAATCGATTTGGTAATACGCAAACAGAATGCGAGATCTAAACAGGGGATTGAGATTGGAGACGAGGGAACTTACAGTGGATGATTGGATCGAAGAAAAAGGATGTGAGATGAATAGCGATAGGAGATGTAGATACAGAGAGAGAAAGCGAGCCACAAAGACGACTGAGTATTGAGAGAGCGAATGGAGTGAGAAAGTAGAAAGGGTTGGATGTGGATGATTAAGTCCGTTTTATATGCTGCCTCTGTGAACGGGTCGGCCTTTTGAGATCGAAATCGGGTTTGGTCCGGGTTCAGATCCCTTCACCGCGTTGCAGCCAACGATGAGGCTTGGTTTTATTTGTAGGCGCTCCAACTGAAAATGGTATGAATCCAGTCAGCTACGGCAAAATATTTATACTCCGTGTGATAATTTGGAGTGGATCGTATGATAAAAGGACTTTAGTATAAGTGAAAATTAAAGTAAATATATATATATATATATATATATGTAGGCGGCGTGCTGGGCCTAACGCATTTGATATGCAGTTGCACCTTGAATCGGCTCTCCCCGACCTTTCGACCAAATTGTTCTCCAGAAAGTTGCAAATACGCGGTGAGGTGATCTCGACATTAAACTTCTGACGATCAAGTCAGTAAAAGAGTTATGAAAAATTGTGTGAGAAATGCACTGTGAAACTTAGAGTATAAAGTGTGATTTACCTTTATTTTTTTCCAAATTTTACCTTTTTATAGAGGATAATTGGCTTCTTGAACAAGCTTTGCCATGCCCGAAGGCCTGCCCAGTTGCCCAGACTGCCCAAGGGGCTGCCCATCGATTACTTGGTTACTCGTAGTTCTGTTCAACAGATACTTGGCTCAATTCTTATTCGTCGGATCATATACTACTTTTGGTTATGACCCTACATGTGTTTCTTATTAACAGCTTGAACTCCACCTACAAAGTTTATCCATCCATTCCTTGTCTGAGTTGTTTACCCGTTGCTATGTTCGAGCTATCATATGTCCGAGCTACTTACCAATTGTACTGTCTGCACGGTTCTAAAAATCAGCCTAGGCGGTGCCCAGGGCGTCTCCGATTTGCACAAATCGGCAGAAAAAATCAGCTAGGCAGACTTGGCGGGCTCGACGCCCAGGCAATTAGGCGACGCCTAAGCGGACTTAGGCGCTCCTAGGCGGGCTCGGCGGTAATTTTCTGTTTTTTTTTTATTATTTTACATATTAATTACATTATTTTGTTCTCATGTTTTCTTTAAAATATATTAATTTTATTATTTGGACTTAGGTGCTTCGATTTATTATATGTTGAGATAATTTTATTTTGTATGTAGTTAAGATAAATAAAAGATAAGGTATTTAATATTGATTTCTAGGCCCCGACTAGGCGCCGCCTAGTCCTCGCTTAGGCGCTCTAGGCGCTAGGCGTTAGTCGAGCGCCTAGCGGGCGCCAAGCGATTTTTTTTTACACTGACTGTTTGAGCTACTTTTTTGTCTGAATGGTCAACAAACATAAGCTTGTTTGAGCTTCTGTATGCTTGAGCTGCAGCCACACCTAAGTTATCCCAGCTATGATGTAAGCCCAAGCTAGATACATGCTTCAACTATTCCAACTACCTGAGCCTTCATACCTTTAGGCCGACTGACTGAACTAGTTTGGAGCCTACAAACGAGGTAGTTGCGGCCGATTCACTCGCTACACTATGTGCTATGTCATATGGGTCGTACATCATTTTTTCCAATCTTAAACAGGTCGTACATCATTTTTAGCATAGTAACTATTTGTCCTATTTTTGTTATTTTTTTCTTTGTTGGTTCGTTTGTTTTTTTCCCCCATTTTAGGCTTTTTCTTAGAATTTTAGGTCCTCCATTGTCTCGTGCGTTTACCGTGATTTCACTTTTTCCGTGTTTTCTGTTATTTTGTCGGTTTTTGTGTGTTTTCTTGTCTTTGGAAGTGTTCATGTTCGGATCTTGACCAGACGTTTGGAGTATATTCAGTCGAAAGAGAAGGTGATCGTCCTAATTTTACAAGGTTCATGTCTCGAATTGGAATTGTGAGAGTCTCGTCCAACCTTCATGTAGCCATTTTCTTGGCAGAACCCGAGCAATGTGCGTTCAGACCATCACACGCACGTCGACCCGCACGCCATATTGACGTCGTACATGCCCAAGTTCAACACTACATTGTTCCAACCCTCGCACCATGGCACAGCAGGCCTCGTGTCGTGACCAAGAGCGCGACACCTCTCACAGGCCGACAGAGAGTTCGGCTCTTCTAGGTGTCACATCGCGGCACTGAAAATCACTCGTGGGTCGACCAAGCCCCCAACACCCCTCACGGGCCGACAGAGAAGGTGGGTTTACCAAGCTTCACATCGCGGTCGCGACCAAGCACACGACTAGTCTCGCGACCTGCCACGTCAACCCATCGCGCTGAGACAGGTCTTGCGCTGCAAATCTGACAATTTTTAAATCTCGAAATCATTTTCCTTTGTTGTTTGTTGGGGATTGCTACTTATTAGGAATTGAGCTTAGGGTTTTTCCACTATTCCCAGATTTCTTTCAAGTTTCTCTCATTTTCTCAAACATTGGTTCTCTTGGTTGTGCTTGGATTCGATTATGGAGATTGTGACACTCCAAAATGAACACAACTGAGCCTGTAGTTTGAATTTAACTTAATTAATCGTAAGTATCTTCATTTGATTATGGCTGTGAATCATTGTGTTGAATTTTTTTTTTTTTTTTTTTGGATCGATACTAATATGTGCGGCTAAATCGTTTTGTTAGAGAGAGGAGATAATTGTTTTGGTTCAATTGAGATTCATGTGCCTAATTGTCGTTCAATCTATTCGAGTTGTGTTAAATCTAGGGTTAGATGCTTGATCATCATTGTAATCTAATTATTCAACTTATAGAATCGAAAGGGGAGAAGTTGATCGATTTTGGCTCTTTTAGAATAGAATTGTTTGTAAATGTATTGCCTATGTGTTAATTGGTTCAAAATTTGATCGTTCATGTTTGTTCTCTTGTTACAAAAAGATGTTGAGAATGAACCTCTGGACGAGTAGGTTGTTTAATCTCTTAATCGAGTGATTGTTTGCTCATAAATAGCATTAGAACCATAAACAATTATTTCTGACTCTCTAACTTCATCATCATTATTTGGATTTCGTTTGGAATTTGAAGTTTACCTATGCATTGTTTGAGATTCTTTAGTGTTAATTAAAACCAAAACCAATTTGAATTAGGAATTTAACGGAATTTAATTCTCTTATTGTGATCGAATATACGTACGAAGTAATCTGTTTAACCTTCCTTGCGATACGATGCGAGGATTGGATCTTTAGATTTAACTCCGGTAAAAATAACTACAACAATAACTTTAACAATAATACGTTTTGAGATTTGCAATATTGCAAGTTAGTGGTAAGAGCTTTCCCACGAAGTCTTTTAGCTCATATGCTCCGCCCGCTAGTACCCTTTGGACGATGTGTGGCCCTTCCCAATTATGCTCCAATTTGCCCAGATGTTTCAATATGCCAGCTCTTCTCTAAACCAGGTCTACGACCTGCAGTTGTCTTCGATTTACCTTCTTATCCTGCGCTAAGCACATCTTTTGGTTGTATTGCGTTATCCTTAACCATGCTTGCTCCCTTGTCTCATCACTTAATTCGAGAGCTTCTTTGGCTAGCTCCGCATTCTGTTATGCCGCAAAAGTAGATACTCACTGAGAGCTAAGATTAATCTCTACTGGAATAATTGTTTATATTCCGTACACCAAGCTAAATGGGGTGTTCCCGTGATCGCCCTTGGCATGGTCCTATACACCCATAACATTGTATCTAGCTCGTCCACCCAAGTTCCTGAAGTTTTGTCCAGGCGAGTTTGCAAACCCCTCAATATAGTTCAATTCGTCACCTCTGTTTGACCATTTGTTTGCGGATGCACCATCGAAGTAAAGTACTGCATGATCTCCATCTTCATACACCAAGCCTGTATCTTTTTTCTCAGAGTTGAGGTCTATTGTCTAAGACTATTATTCAAGGAATCCCATATTACATATGTTGGTGAATAAAAACTTGATGACCTTTTCCTTCATGATTTGACCATTGCTTCGGCCTCTATCGGTTTACTAAAATAACCAACCACCATGCAAAACCTCACATGACCAGAGCCTTGTGGTAGAGGTCCCAATATATTCATCCCCTATTGAGTAAAAGGCAATGGTGAGCTCATCAGGACAAGCTCCTCTACAGGTCGATGGATAAGTTGTCCGTGTTGCTGACATTTACACTTTTGTATGAGCTCCTCATTGTTATCATCATTGGTAAAAAATACACAACCCTTAGAACTTTTTCTATCAATGCCTGAGCTTTAATGATCGTCGCAGCATCCCTCATGTACTTCCTTCAGGACATACTCGCCATCTTTCTCCAAAACACACCTTAGATAAGTTCCTACACATGACCTCTTGTAGAGAATTATGTCATGTATGAAAATCACATAGCTCTCTTTTCCAACTTGTCCATCCACAAATCTTTAATTAAGTTCATTATTAACATGCTCCAGCCACCTAATCAGGGAGTTCCTCCGATCTTCCTTCTCGTCGACCTCCTATGACTGACTCCGAAATACTTAATCCCATTTGCATAAGAGTAACTTAGCGCAATTTGCAATCTACCAACGAAGTTGCGACCTTTGACAATAGGTTGACCTTATTATTTTCCACACGTGGGATTTGGAAGAGTTCCCATGACTCAAAGCTTTTTGTTAAGGCTTGGACCACAATTGTATATATTAATATCATATTCTATGTTGTAGCAAAATATATTTTCACCGAGTACCAAATCTAATGATTCGTTCCACATGTCGATTTCTCGAGGAAGGCAGTTCGAAATTTAGCTTTGATATCGATCACACACAAAAAGAAAATAATCCTAATAACTCTAATCAGATTGGGGTTTGAATGATTATTAACTAAGAAATAATATAAAACATGAATCTACCTAAAAATATAAATGACACAAAGATAAAGATGCTAGGGAGTCCGGGCTGATGATTTTCTCACCAATGCTAATATCAAGCTAAGATCATTCAGCTAAATGATTCGAACAACCTAACGTCTAGAGATAGTCCTCAATAACTCTTCGTAAGAAGAGGGTAACATAGACGGTAAATCATGCAAATCATATAACACATAGACAATACGTTTCCGAACAAGTCTATTTCATACGAGCCTAGATCGATCAACTCCTCCCCTTTCGATTTTAAGACTTGATTAATTATCCTAGACGATTGTTAATCTACTAGTTTGTTGGATTTTAACACATCACACAAGAACGAATCGTATTAAATTGAAAATCAATTGTAAATCGAAGTGTCACTCTTTGATAATATTCAACATTCAAGGACGAGAATTATAAACCCTAGTTAAGCACAACTCGCATAAATTGAATGATCAATAAAGCATGAAAATCACAATTAAATTCTAAACATCATCATCATCCCCTATCCCTGCAAACGAATTAGCTATTCATGTAGAATTCAACACAATCAATCTCAAGAACCCAAGCATTCATATTCAAAGTTTAATTGAAAAGGAAAACTAACGATTAA